CGCACCAGCAGCACCACAGCGACTGTGGCCGAACCCCGCGCCTTTAATAGCGAGCGGGGCCAGGCCCGCCCCGCCCGGGCCGGGGCGGCGCCGAGCCCGGGGCCGCTGCCGGGGCTGTGGGGCAGGCCGCGAGTGCGGCTCCGTGCTGGGGCAGGGACAGATATCAGACAGGTCTGGCCCCCGAGCCACCCTCCCGCGGCACCTCGGTCCCCTGGAGCCTCATCCCCGGGCGGGGGTGGCAGAGGGGACACGGGGCAGAAGCGTGTCCCCCCCGGCAGGAGCTGCCTCACACCGCGGGAGCGCTGAGCTCCCGGCCCCGCCGCAGCGCTGGTGGCCCGGGCTGGTCCCCCTTGCCGGAATCCCGTGGCTCTGTGTGCTGGTACAGCGACACGGCAGCAGAAACCTCGGTGTGCCTGGCTACCGAGGGCCAGGAGAAGCTGTTCCCTGCGCCGAGTGGCGCAAACCCAGCTTTGCTAATGAGTAATTTAGGATAGAGTGAATTTAAAAACAAAACCAAACACCAAACCAGCTTTATTTTGAATTTTAGAAGAGGTTTTTTTGAAAGTGTTTTGAAAGTCTCAGAAGAGGAACAGTGACTTTTTTATGAGTGACATCATGATCATGTTGTCCCTCTGTCTTTAGGGAAGTGCTGAGGACATTGCAGAATAAAATGCATGATTGTAATGGTACGTGGTCGTGGCCAGCAGTCTCACATCAGAAACTGGCTTTGATGCTTTTGCAGACAAGCATTCGCTGTTCTGCTGAAGACGTCACAGCGCAATGGAAAAACCCAGACTTGCCTGGGAGGCTTTGCTGCTTATTCACATGTGGAGAGTTCCTTCAGGTGCGAGTGTTTGCTCTGGGTGCCTCTCCCTGCTCTCTGCAGCTCCATATTTTTTGCTGCATTTAGCTAAGGGCAGCATGGTAATTGGTTTTCCTCTTTAGTGTTCCTCCTGTTTTGTGTCAGCACCATCAGGCATCTCTGGCAGGATGCGATGTGCTTTCACTTGGATCACAAAACCTTTACGCAACTTAGTGCTTATCTCTTACCACCTGGGTTGAATTTTCCCTCATGGTTTCAGGTCAGAGATGCCTCTGTCCTGTCTCAAGAGGCTTCAGACAGAAGTTCTGTATTTTGTTTTTGGTGTTAGCTCTTGAGAGTTGGAGCCTTTCCCCTCAGAGCTGCAAGGCCGGCCAGCTTTCCACTATTTGCCTCTCCTGAAGGTCTTCTGGGGGCCTTGGAGGAGGAAGAAGTACTGCACATGTCACCCTGTGACAGCCAGCCTGCTAAATCTTGTGCCCTGTGTCCTTGATAACATGGTCATGTCTTTACAGAGTGCTGACAATGAGGAACTGTGAGGGGGAGGAGGGTCTTGCTTGCTTTTTTTTTCCCCTTGATCCACAAGAGGCATAATATCATGAGTTTCTGGTTTGTTTTGCTGACTTTGCATTTAGTAACTGTAATTTCACCACAAGTTGTGACTTTGGTGACCAGTGGTGTTTGGAATCTGAGAACAGGGCCCAAAACAGAAGTGGGTATGTCCTTATGGACAGTGTTTACAGAGAGACCCAGTGGCCCGCTGAAATAACGTGAAGGCAAAGTGGGGAGGTGACACTGCTGCAAGGTGTGATCATCTCTACAGCTAAGGGGAAGAGCTGCAGGGGTCTGCAGCTTCAGAGACACCAGACACAGGCATAACTTACACCTTGGAGGTGAGGGCACGCAGGTTTCAGGCTTGAATTGCTGGGAAGCACAGCAGGAATTTCTGCTTAGCTTGGAGGGGAGATTTATCTTGCTCAGTGTGGGGTTCCAGTTCAACCTTTGGATGCCAGGAGGCAGATCTGAGGTGCTTGGCCAGCCATGACTGTAGAAGACCTCAGCCTCTTTCTCATTCTGAGCTCAAATCAGCCCAGGAGCATGTCTTGGTAGATCTCCCATATTCTCAGAGCATTTTGTCCTCATGCTTTTGTCCTTTGCACCTGCTGAAATAACAAGCTCCAGGCACAGCCAAGGATGAGGAAGTGATCCCACCACCCGTCTGTGGCAATTATTGTGTGGGAAGGGCAGGTTTAGTACAGCAGGGAAAACCTGGGCAGGGGGAAACCATGAACTTCCCCAGGCTGGTCAGGACTGATTCTGGCTGGCTCTGAAAGTGGTGCTGTACCTGGGGTGACTGCATCCTGGCAGATGGGAAGCACCTCTGTGTCCCCCACAGTCCCCTTGGCCGCTGAGGAGGGCAGCACCTCACTCCAAAGAGGGGGTCCTGTGGGCTGGGTCACCCCTGATGGGCAGGACAGTGGCAGTCCTGGGGACACTGGCAGCCCTGGGGACAGCAGACTGCCCACCCAGGAGCTCTAGGACACAATAAGCAGGACTGAGAGGTGAAAGGAAGCATCAGGCACCCAGCATCACCCTCAGAGACACCCTTGTTTCCAGGGAGGGAATGGGGTGGCCTGGATGTAATCTGTGGTGACAAAGAAGGGGTGGAGAGGAGGACAGGGAGCAGATTGGTGTTTGGCTTAAACTGAGGCTGGGGAAGGGGGAGAAAGGCGTTTACTCAATTGTTCTTCTGTGGTTTTTTTTCACTCTTCAGTTACCTGAGGCACAGAAGTGGAGTAGTGAGAACTCTGGAAGAAGCAATGATCCTGGCCCTGGGAATGAATACACAGTAGTGGAGCAGCCAGTGCACGTCCAGGGGGGAGCACACACAGTGTGCAATTGCCTGAAGAGAGGAGACATCTGGGCAGGCCAATGCTGGGTAGGAAGATGACTTGGAAAAGAGAAACAGATGTTTTCTGAAAGCTGATGGCAAAGTGAAAACAAAGCCTCTTGAGGCAGCCTGAGTTGTAAGGTTAGGTAGGCCTGTGGAGGTGGGAGTGCTGCCCTCCAGAACATGAGCACTTTCTTGACAGTCAGGATGAAATTGCAGAAATATTGAAGACTTGCAGCAACTGTCCCTGCAGTGGCTGTGTCAGCAAATGGCATTCAGGTTTTTGCCTTGTAAGAGCAGAGTTGTGGGAAGTTTGGGCTCTCTGCTACTAGCAGGCACCGCCCTTCCCAAGGGAGGAAGGCTTTAGGATCCACCAGTGAGGGGCTGTGGGGAGAAATCGTCTGATCCTGCTGATCCCACAGATGAGACTCCTCTGCAGATGTTTGGACTGCTGGGTGGTGTTTACAGGCCAGGGGGAAAGGACCCTGAAAAAATGGTGATCACTGATGCTGTGGCCTGAAAGCTCCAAGGTCTGAGCACAGTTCCTACTGGTATCACTTGATAAGTTGCTGTTGGGACATCAAGGAGTAACTCACATGCATTGTACTAGCTAGTGCATGCCAAAAGATCAGCAGATTAGTGGCTCTGGCCAAGGATAGCTGGGAGTTCAGCTTGGAAAGCATTTTAGAAGCAGTTGGAAAATATGTTGACTGTTGCAGTGTTGATCCTGATAATTTTGTCTCTGGGAGAAGGGGTGGGTTTGGGATTCATGTCTTGTTTGCACTGGTGAGGTGTTAACTACGCAGGTCTGCATGGGCAAGGGGTGGAGTTTATAATGAATATGCAGTAAGATGATGATTATGTTAAAGATGGAGTTTGAATAAGGGTGAGACAAATCTTAATATATCTCTCAATTAAATGCAGGGTGGAATGTAAAGAATATAAATTGCAGACGGTACCAAGGGATGGCAGCGGTGAGCTGTGTGGAGACCACTGAAAAAAACACCCTGTCCCATGCCAGAATTTAAGCTCACAGTACTGCCACTCAGGAATACTTCTGGAGACACAGGTGCACTTTTTTGAAGGAGATCCATGCTGAAAGGACTTAATTCCAAGAGGACTGCAGCTGGTGGATGAGTTATGTTTGAACAAGGAAACCCCTGAAGGCATGGTGGGCACTGGGGAAATCGTGCTGGAGAAAGTATTCACTAAAAAGACAGTGTTCTAAATTTGTGCATCATAGTAACATTGTACCTTTATTGTTCAATAAAAATCTGTATTTGATTTCAGCAGAGCTAAGTCTCACCTCAGTTTGGGGTTACAGAACGTTTTATGGGCTGCTTCCTTTAGAAAGCTGCAAAGTGAACGTTCTTGGATTACATTTGCATGAATTGGAAGTGGAAATTTTGGAAAGAACTCCGTAAGGTGCTGGTTTTCTTGAACAAGGGTTTTGCTCTTTTGCCTTGAAACCCAGTGTGCAACTTCATGATTGTGTTTGGTCACCTGCCCAAGGGTTGGGAGCAGAAATGTGCCACAGCCCCAAAAGCAAATACCTCCTGGTCTCACCTGGGGCTGTGGGGCCAAGGGCAGCGGCGGATGGGTGGCTGGGCTGGAGGGCGAGGTGGATGGAGCTGGAGGGGCATTAACTGCGGCCAGAATTTGGCTCCCAGGCTGACAGGGCCAGAGGAGATGCCGGCACTTTGGGGGCAGAGCCAGAGCCCCGGGCTGTGTGACATCAGGGATGGGGACAGGCTGAGGGATGGCTGCCCTCTGCTGCCCGCAGGGGAATGAGAAATGTGCCCTGTCCCAGGGAAAATCCACACACTCAGGAGAAAACCTGGCTGAAAATACTGCCAACCACACCCCTGTGTGTTTTCTGCTTATGGAGTTTGGTTTTTTTTCCTAAGGGAAAGATTTTCCTAGGTAGGAAAAGCTGCTTTCTCAGTTACTTCTGGAGTGATAAAACTGCTGGCCTTTAGAACTAAAGAACATTTCTCGGATTTTTCTCTCATAACTCCAACTATCCTCTTGTGTTGAAGCAAGATAAATTAAAAAGGTGAATGTGTAGTTCAAAGTCTCTCCCTCGCTAAATGTGGATTACTCCATCCATATTTTGACAGAAAATGATTACAGCCCCCATTTTATTATTTTGGAACAATTTTACTGTATCTTTCAGAAAGAAAAAACAAGAGATGAACACTGAATACATATGCTGTGACTTCACTGGCTGCAGGAGGAGAAAAGCAATAAGAAAGTCAGATAAATTGATAGGAAGAATTATCAGACCAAGCTCTGAATGAGGGCAGGATATTAATATCTTCAATATTCTGCATTGAAGGGGTAGTCCTTGTGAGTTTTGCCCCTGCAGGGAATAGAAAGCTTCATTTTAGTCATAATTTTCCTTTCTAGTTTTGTTTCAAGAAGCCACTAAGGTGGGATCTGAGCTCTGTAATTGAAGGATGGGTTCATTCCAGATTAGTTTTCCTCTATTGTATATGTTTTTGTACATTTGGAACATCCCAATTACTTCATCATTCAGGCTCTTGACATTCTAGGCAGTATTTAGATGTAAAACCTCTGTGTATATAATATTCAAAACTGATGGGTTTGGAGAAAAATACTGAGTGCTACCACTTACATGCTCATTGTATAGACTCTCCAGTTTCTATTAAAGCTGAAAATAGTTGCCATCTCCTCTTCAGTCAATTTGAAGTCAAACACCTAAAAAGAGAAAACCACCTCTTTGAACAAACCAGAGTCTGTAAGCAAAATCCACAAGTCTGCAAGGGAAGGCAGCTGGTTAGAAAACATGACTGCTTCATGAAAAAGACATCTTTCTGTTTCACCAAGAATGCATTGGCAGAGGGAATAGAACAATTCATCCAAAGTTGCAATAACACATGCCAGCTGTTGCAGGACACTTGGCAGGCTCTTGCATCTGTCACTTGTGAGAGATGCATCTTTCTGTCCTATTCCAAAGGCACATCTAAAAGATTTCCAAATTTCACTTAATCTGTCTAGGCTTTTTGAAATCCCAGTGACCAGTTGCAGTCAAAGACCACTGAATTAAAAAAGACCACTGAATAGAGCAACATGGTCTGTGAACACCACAACTGTTTTCTCAACACTGCTTGCTCTACATAAGCCTTTCATGGTGTGCTGCTGCATTCAAGTGCCAGTGAAAAACCATCTGGTAATTCATCTCAAGTCTGCAGAATACAAGACACCGTGTAAAGTGACTGCTAGAATTATCAGCATACTGAAAAAAGGCTTGGTTCATTCCTGCTCTCCAACTGTAACCTTAAGTTTGGCCCTTAGTAGAGTGTGTAAACAGACAAAAAGCCTGGTGTTCTTGCCTGTGCAGAAGCTGGGAAGAATGATAAAAGGATTTTTTCCCTTGCTGTGCAGGGAGAAGCCAAGCCATCCCTGAGGGGCAGCAGCTCAATCCCAATCCCTCACCTGGAAGTTCTCCACAATGCGCTGTGGGGTGACAGATTTGGGAATCACAATCACATTTCTCTGGATCTGGAAGCGAAGGAGAACCTGCAAGAATAGACAACTGAATCTCTCTTCTTGCTCTGGAGGAAGCAGAGACTGTTCCTGTTGTCCCTGTTTCCAAGCATTCCTGTCCCTGCAGCCCTGGTTGCCCTGCCTGAAGAGCAAAGAGGGAACTGGTGGAGCCTCCTGTGAAAGGCCTCCTTTCCCATTCAGTTTTGGGCCAGTCAAGTCTTCCTGCTCACCCAGACTTCTATCAAGATTTCATTCTCTGCAGGAAGACTTGAGATGAAGACATTCCAGCATTTGAGGACAGGTCAAGAAAATGTTTTGTGATGACAGTCAGAGCACACTTGAGAGTGTGCATTGCAGGCCACACAGAAAACAGGCCCTGCACTGCTGCCTCTCACCAGAGCTGACTGGGAACAAAGAGCCAGCCTGTCCTCCACACTGTCACTGGCTGTCCTGTGTCACAGGAAGGGGTACCCACAGTCTGGCATCCACGTACCTGGGCTGTGGATTTGTTGTGCTTGGCTGCAATTTCCTTGATCTTGGGGTCATCCAGAAGGGAAGGATCCTCTGGCTTAGCCCTACACAGAGGAGAGACAACAGCAGAAATCTGTTTTGACATCAATGGCTAATAGTACACTGACTGTCTCGGTGCTCCAAGCATTATCCATGCCAGCTCCCTCACAAACTGCAGAGCAATCTTACCATGGTCTGTCAGGAGAGCCAAGGGGGCTATAGGCTGTCACAGCAATCCCTTGGGATTGGCAATAGTTCACCAGCTTCTCCTGGGTAAGGTATGGATTGCATTCGATCTGCCAGCAGAAGGGTACAGAGATGGGTAGAATGCAGCTGTAACTCACTGCAGGGATTATCTCCCAGTGCACTTCAAGGCTGGAATTTGTCCTCATGTGCCAGTCTTTGCAAAGTGTTTTTCAGCTGTAGTTTTCTACAGCACCTGCTTCTACAGTGAGACTCCTTGTACCTCTGGGTCTTTGCTCTGGGGGAAAAGCATTCCATAAGGCTCACCTCTGGGTTCTTTGGCATGTTCTGAGGTCCTTCTCAGATTTCTAAGCAGTAGCTTAGCAAATACTGAAAACCCCAATGCCTCACATATTCAGCAGTAATGTGGAGTGGGATGAGAAGAACGTGCTGCATCTGCTCTGTTCTCCCCCCCATCTGTTCTAGACATAAAATCTCCCTTTCTCATCAATTGGTGCTCCTTTCTCATGTGCTATAGTTTTGGAAAAGATGCAATTTTTTTCCCCTTTCAGCATGCTCTTTTTTTGTAACTACATGCAGAGGAAGGACTGGCAGGCTCTGGAGACTGAGGGAATTTAGTACTTTTGGTGAATATGCAAGAAGTACTGAATTCAGAGCTGTAAGAGATGTCTGAGTCTGTCCAAGGCCCTTTGAAGGGATAAACTTCTGCAGCACCTGCATGCAAAGGGGCAGTGGCTGCTGTATGCAAAGACTAGGTGATTTATTTTTAAAATATGTGTGTATAAAAACACCTTATTTCTTATTTTACATAAATCAGAGTAGATACCAGGAAGCCACCAGTGTGTCAGTAAATGTTCTACTTCTGTATAATAGTTAAAACTGACCTCCCTTTCCAACTGGGTGACTGAATTGTGGATTCCTGCATGAGATAAAACACATCTTGTGTGAACAATCATCTGCTATTAATAACAGATTGATGCCATTACTAATAACAGAGTAATTATAGGGAAAAATAGGGAACTTCATTCCCTATCAGGACACAGATCTACAACATCTTTATGTGTACTCAGAAATAATCACAGAGCGTAATTGTGCTGTGTCTGCTTTGTTCTTCCTTTTTGCATCTCCTCATGCAACTGTAATTGGATCTTTATAATCCCACAAAGCCAGTCACCTGCAGTCACTTTGCAACTCACCTGGACATTTGCAGGCTTGTGCTTCAGTCCTGGCTTGTTCAAGATTCTTTCAATCTGCTCATGGTTGAAGTTGGAGACACCAATGGCTTTTACCAGACCAGCATCCACCAGCTCTTCCATGGCCTGGCAGAAAGAGGAGCACAGTCAGCATCAGTATACAAGACAGGCCCTGGAAGAATTATTCCTTCACTTGTGTGGCTTCATTTCCCTTCATGGGCAAGGAAAGACAAATGTTTGGAGCTGCAAAAATTGTCTCCTGAGGAAAAGTGCACACTGGTGTATTTATGCCATGTCTTCCATCTCACCCAAACCCAAGGGCTCCTTTCTTGAGATGGCAGAAATTCAGTTATTTTCACACGGGAAATAAGGATAATCAATGATGTGTTCTTAAGCCAGCATGATCACAACCTAATTTATTTCAGCAGAGTGTATTTGAGCACTTTCAGAACAGCAATGAGGACAGTTCTGTTTCTGGTATGGCCAGGCAGTCTGGCTTGCAGCTTCACTAAAAATTATCAGCTTGACTGAACATGTTTTGAAAAACTATTTTGTATATGGTGCAATAAATACATAAGACCTTTGTGGCTGCTGAAGGTAATGAAAGCATGGAAAAGACTGCCAGCAACAGAAAGCATGACTTTCCCACTGTGGCTGAACTTACCTCCCATGTATCTAGAAAATCTGTGTTGCTTGGAATAGCCATGCCTTTGTCATCTGCAGGAAACAGCTCCTCTCCTGCCTGTCAGTGAAAAAAAAATAAATTATATAAACACTCTTTTTATTGGCAAGGTAATACCAAGACAACTGGAGACCATGATGGCTTTAGCTACTAGTACAGAAAATACTAATATTTGTTTACATTGCTCCTGGCAATTTTGCCAGTAATCATTCCTAGTAGGAATGATCTGGAATCAGATGTCAGGTGTATGTCCTGGATCCAGCAATGTGATGACTCACATTGATGACATGTACAGATAAACAAGTCACACTTGTGGAACAAACAAGTTTCCTATACTCCTCTATTATTCCTTTAAGACCGAATTGGGGTTTTTTTGGTTTTTTTGAAGGACTTGCTAAAGTTCCAGGAACATTTAAGTCAGGTTTAGGCTGAGCCACATCTGCTGAAGAAGATATTATGTGAACACACAGGTGTCCTGTGAGGGGAGCCTCAGTTTAAGTTGGAGGCAAATCAGAACACCCCAGATGTACAAACTCAGGAACAAACCTCCACATCCAATGTGCAGATGTCAGAGTATTATGACACTTTTACTCAAGCTCTTTGTTCACATAAAACTAACCATGACAGCTTTGCAAGTGTGACAAACAGTTGACAAGCTCGAAAGCCACAGATATAGGATGGAGGTCTTAACCTGTCTGCAGCTGAAAGAAAAAGCCAAGACTAGACACAGACTGAGACATCAGCTCCTTTGAAGTACATGAAGGATGAGATGTATTTCATATACTTCTGACATGGATGTCAGAAAGTCTCACCTTTTGAAATCCAAGGTCTGTGGAACAACTTTAAGACTCCTACAGCAGAGCTCAGCTCAATCTGTAGTGTGTTAGGGACTCAGTGATTAAAGAAGGAAATGGAAGACAGAAACATGCTCTTGTTCTGTGCTTCTGTAACACAGAGAGGAAAGAATTTCTGTCAGGCAGCAAAGTACAGCCTTCCTTCCCTCAAAGCAGGAAAGGATGATTTAGGCCAAAGTTAAGCAGCAGAGTCAATCTTGCAGCCAGGGGCCTGACCTTAGTGCTGGGTCTGCCTGCCCGTTATCAGGAGGGCAGAGGACGCTGTGCAGGCAGCGCTGTCGGGGCAGAGATCAGGGGCAGAGTGGGATGGGCAGCACTGGGGCAGTGCTGGCACAACAGCCACGGGCTCTTTCTGGAGCAGCAGTGGTGCTGCAAGTGCTCCTGGCACTTCTGAGGAGCTCTCCCAGGAATGAGACCTGCTGTTACTGTACCTTGAACCCCAGAGGCCAGTGCATGAGGTAGAGATCCAGGTAATGCAATTTCAGGTCAGCAAGAGTCTTCTGGCAGGCTCCCTTTACCAGAGGCTTCTCATGAAAAGTGGACCACAGCTAGAGAGAAAAACAAGGAAGATTGTGACCTCCTGAGTTTCAGCTCTTTCCTGAAGAAGGAAAAAAAAGCTAGCACACTTTCTGGGACCATTTCTGCTTAACATGTAATTTGAACAGTCCCATGAAAATGAAGAATGTAGAACACATCTTAGATAATGCTCTACAAAATAGAGAGACAAAAAGAAGTTTTTACCAGTATGGGTCTGAACTATTCTCCTAATAATTTCACACAGCCTTTCCCCACTGCTCTGAATTTCCCTCTATGCATATGTTGCCACAAATTACCCTGGACCCTAGGTCACCTTACCTTGCTGACTATGAAGAGGTCTTCTCTTTTCACAACACCTTCCTTGATTTTCTGCTGGATCCCTTCCCCAATTTCATTCTCATTCTGGTACACGTAGGCACAGTCGAAGTGGCGGTACCCGGCATCGATGGCAGCCATCACCGCAGCTTTTGCTTGCCCAGCTGCAGACTGGAAAAAGAAGCTTAAGATCTCAAAGCATACAGATTTCCTACTAATCTAGCAACTAAAGAAACACAGTTTTAAGTAGAGTTTTTCCATGCTGTGTTCTTAAAACTCTCTTCATCTTATGAATGCAGGCTGCTGGGTTTGAATCCAGCCTCCAGATATTTATCCATTGCCCCAGTCCCAAGCTGGCTCAGCCAACAGCTAGCTAGAGCAGAGCCCTCAACACTGCCAGAGATGGACCAGGGGGAACCAAATTTTGTGCCAGGGAGCTCTGCAGTGCCTCTTACTCAACAGTTCTCGCTTCCCAGTGTTGTGTCTGAGAAACAAATGGCCCAGCTAGAAGCATTTTAGTTCTTATGGGGAGGGCAGTGGTCTACACCTTACTCATCCACATCTCTTTGGAGTGTTACACTGTGCTCATGTTAGGGCACATTCCACCTGTAATTTGAGCTTTATGTCAGCTGCATCCTTCAGAGACAGAGGAGGTGTGCAGTTCCATGTGTATTTACACCCTGAAAGGGCGTGTAAGAGCCGTGCACAAAGAAATGTTGGCATATCTTGTCCACACAAATCCAGCAATGTTTGTTTCTAGCCATTGTATAGATCAGCGGTTTTGCAGTCATCGTAACAACGGTGCAAACCTCTTTGTCAGAACTTGCTCGAAACGCATGAATTGTCTTCTGAAGCCATACCTCGTTAGCAGACGGCTCCCGGGGAACTTGCTACTGCTTGTTCCTCAGCAGGGATGTGCTCCAGGGCAGGGGCACGGGAAGGGACAGGGACAGCAGGGGCTGGGTGGGATCCGCGCATCCCTGGCGGCTGCGGCAGGGACGGAGAGCGAAAGCGGCTCCCAAAGCATCGCCGGGGCTCTGTTCGCATCCCGGGACCGAGCCGAGCTGTCCCCGCTCCCTGCCCACTCCCGAGCGCTCCGGACCCTTCCGGAGGAGACGGCACGGAGCCAGCCCGCTGTCCCCCTTACCTTCCATGTGCCCAGCCCCACGGCGGGCATGCCGGCCCCGCTGGAGAGCTGCAGGCAGGTGGCCATGGCTCCAGCCGGGAGTGTTTTCCCGGAGCATTCAGCCCTCCCAAAAAGGCAGCGCCGCGCCCCGGGACCCGCCCGGGACCCGCCCGGCACAGCCAAAGCCCCGCGGCCCTGGGAACACCGGGCTCGCTGCTTCTCCCCCTGTCGCCCTGAGAATCAGACCTTTCCATATTGTTTTCATAATTTCTAGCCACTTTCCCAGGAAAGTAAATATAAACGTAGGTGTTTATACATTCCATTAAAGATATGCCCTTTGATGGACATCTCTCGCCACCAGTGTGGTTGGGAAGGTGTTAACCTGACTATCCAATCCCTGGTCGTGGTCAAAAACCTATAAATACTGAAAAAACAAAATAAACTTCCTTCTTCTTTCATCACACTTCGAGCTGCATCTGTGTGAATTATTTTGTGTCATCCCCCCAGCTGCAATGTGGGCTCTGGGTTCCCTCCTCATCTCTCTGGAGAGAGGAAAAGGGACCTCCTTTGTAGGGGTAAATTAGAAAGCAGTTATTTTAAAGAAAAATGTTATTTTTAGTGTTGGGAGACGCTTCTTTTAGTGTTTTTTGAAAGCTGCTGAAGAATAATAGGTGTTATGTTGAAGTTTTGCTGCATGCTTGTGGTTGGAGAATTTATTCAGGTGTCAGCATCAGTTGGCAACATAATAGCGCATTTTTCTCTGCGTGCCTTTTTTTTGGTAGCTCTTTTCTTCCCCTTCTTACCTGAGAGTAGACAATAGCTTGTCTCTGTAATCCTGTTTTTGTCAGCAGGATGTGACGTTTCAGTTAACATCACAAAATAGTTATGTAACGTAGTGTTTGCCTTTTACTTTTTTTTTCCCTGCTGGATTCCTCCTCTGTATATTTGCTCTGAGCATGCTCAGACTCTTGGGGTTTGGCTTGAGGGACAGTGAACTCAGTGGAAAGATTGTGATATTAGGAGTACAGTATTAAAACCAAGCATGAGAGGCCTGCTGCCATCCTAGTCTGGGGGTTTTTCCCCAATGGTTTATTAACTGAGAGATGTCTCTGTCTTTTGGAAAGGATTTTGGGCAGAAGGTTTGCATTTGCTGTAATGTATCTGAGGTCCATTTGGTCATAACCAAAAGCACAAGTTTTGTTCACACCTCATTTGAGGACAAAATCCCCTTTCTTTTTAATCACTTACAAAGGCCAAGTTCTGTTTGCATCTGTCATGGGGTAAGGGAACACCAGACAAGGTGATAGTGCTAAACTGGATTCACCAAGTGCATCAATGAAGGAAAAGCCTGGCAGAGAGAACGTGACATGCACCGAAGGAGTCTTGGTACAAGCTCTGGATGATAAAGCAACAGGAGAACCATACCTGGAAATATTCACAATGTGTATTAGTGTGCGCCCCTCATAAAGTACTGCAGTGAGTCAGTGTGGCCTCACCTGGGGGAAATAAAGCACTCAACTCTGATCTGTCAGGCTCTGGGCAGTGGCTCAGCACTAACACATGCTCTTACACCTCATGTCCTCATCATTTTGGGTATCTGCATGGGTGTAGTCATGTTTCCTCACAGTCTGTTTTACTGAGGGCTTGTAAAGCTAGATCAATGTCAGCACAGCCTGGCAGCCAGAGCAGTCCATACTTTCACCACAGAGCTCTCCAGCATTTCCAGTTACACTCCTGGCACTTTCACATGCTATGTACCAAGACTCCTCCCACAGCTCTTGTCTGCACCAACTGGTCAGTCACGGTTCATTATATCCACTTATTTTAACTCCTAATCACGGCAAGCTCTTGATGCTCCTGTGACATTCAGTCTCTCAGCCTTTCTGCCATCTGTAAAGAACCTTTCATCCATGCACTCACACCCACAACCCAATTCACATTGCAATTGTACAATGCAAGCAGCTCAAGTTTGTCTAAGTGTTTTTACCCACTGCATACCAAGATAAACAGTAGTACAGCTGACTAAGTCAGTCAGCATTGGGCTCTAATGCTATTAACCTTCACAAATGCTGGTTTTTGTTAGTCCTCAAGGAAGTCTCTTGACTACTCAGCTACTCAAGACACAGCTCAACCTTCACATGCATTTCTCAGAGCTCACAGCTTGGTCTGGTGTGGGAGTTATGGATCAGAATGCAGCAGATGTTCTGCCAGCCCCAGGCACACGTGGACACACGGACACCCGAGCTGCCACACTGTCACAGCACCTCCCAGCTATCCTAGCACTGCCCAGCCAGGCTCACCTGCACCTCCACCAGGAGGGAGATGATGGGACACTTGTGGCTGGGTTCTTTTCCCCCTTGGACTGAGTTTGATGAGAGAGAGGCAGTTTTCTCTTCAGACTTGGTTGTTTATTCTTCTCTAATCTATATTACATATATACAAGGCACAAGGAGCTACATGCACTAAGATAGAAAGGTGCAAAATGGCCAACAAAGAACTTCTTCAAGGTTTTTTATATGTCCATTTACCCAATTAACAAATGCCAAGTTAATTATTTTTCTTAGTGACCCAATGACCCAACACCTGTGAGCTGCACTGTGGCATTTTCTATTCAATCATTACTACCAAAAAACCTCTGGAAGAAGAAAGGAAGAAAAGACAGCACCCTAAATCCTCCATCTTGTCTTTTGTTTTCTAACTAGTTTAAACCTTTAACCTTTTTACCTAGTGACTTAAGAAAACTCTTACACACTCACACCCCTAGTTTTTCCATTTAACAGTTGTTTTCATGGTGTTATATGAAATTCAGTGCTTTCTTAGATGTCAGAGCCAGGTATCAGAGATAAGGGCACACACTCTGTGCCTCTGACTCCAACAGGAGAGGCTTTGGCAAGGGAAGCCTTTATTCATTCACATGGTTACAATGAGCAGAGACCTGTCCCAGTGAATCAGCACATCCTGAAGGGAATAGAATAGAGTAGAGTAGAGTAGAGTAGAGTAGAGTAGAATAGAGTAGAATAGAGTAGAATAGAGTAGAATAGAGTAGAATAGAGTAGAATAGAATAGAATAGAATAGAATAGAATAGAATAGAATAGAATAGAATAGAATAGAATAGAATAGAATAGAATAGAATAGAATAGAATAGACTCGACTCCAGTGTCAGGCCCTGGGCAGCAGCTCAGTATTAACATATTCCAGTTCCACTATGCACCCTCTGTGCTGTACCAGCCACTTGCTGAACACTGCTTATCTCCCCTCTCCCCCCAGTCTCTGGTACTCTGGGCTTTCAATAGCCAGATACCAGCACTGGCTACCAATTAAATCAGTGCACAGTGATACCCAGGCAGAGTTTTCAGCAGGTCAGGTGTTGGTCTCCCGTTGCTTGTTGATCACAAGATCTCAATGCTCTTGTGACATCATTTAAAATTGATCAGGGATGATTATTTCCAATTACATTTTATATCTGATTTTATCCAATTATATTAATTATTTTCCAATTACATTGTTCATGCAAGTTTCTTGGTTTGTTAATTTTAGCATTAGAATAGAACTTCCAAACCAGCAGTAATCCAAATATTTTTATTTTGGTCAAGAATGAAATTGAACATCAATCTCTTTCCAGTTTCAGCCTGTAAAAAAAGTGACTGAAATAAAGCCCAGTATGAGTTGGTATTCATCTGGATGCTTCTCTCATTTATTTTTCTTTCCCAGAAAGCTTTGGGCTGTACTCTAGAAGTTAATTTTAATTTTGTCTTTTACCTTCAGGCAGTGATTATGTGATTATTCAGGATGTGTTTTTCTCCTGCACTTACATATCCTTAACCCTGCAGCCTTAAATGGTGCTGATGTAAGACAGTAGATAAAACCAGTTGCTCATTCCCTCTTCTGTTTTCTCCTTTGCTATTTCAGCCATGCAGAAACACTCATGTAATGAGAATTATCACAGCCCACATTTTGTTCTTCAGAACAACTGTACAATTTCCTTCCACCAAAGAAAAAAAACCCAAAGTCACTGAACACAATAACCTTGCCTTTGCTGGCAAGAAGGATACAGTGTGTAAGCTACATAGTGCACAGTTTGAGGCAATGGTAGAAACTCATTAGACCCTGGAGGCCTGAGAAAGGGCAGGAAAAAAACCCATCTTCAGTATTCTGCATTGAAAGGGTATGCCTTGTGATTTTTGCACCTGGAGGAAATTAAAGAGGAAAGATTACTCAAGGCTAAAATAATTAACTTAAGAGATTTGATAATATAGAAACAGCCTACAGGACCAAGTACCAGCCTTTCTGTTATTCAGGCATTGAACAGTGGTGGGACCAAGTAGAGAGTTAACTCTTTTTAGATACAGAGTTAAAATTCACACAGAGACAGCAGCACTTTCTGTGGCCTTGCAGCCAAGACTTCCTGTTTTGGCTTCCAAGGTGCATATTTGCAAGCAGCTGTGCTTTGTACTGCACAACAGATGGTTATCCATCCCCACAACCACCTGTGTAAGAGCTGACATCAATTTCTAATACCCCACAGAAAATAATTACCCAAAATTTAAAACAGCCTAATGCTCATTTATCCCATATGGACACAGCCAAAGTTATCAACTAAAACCCTCATTTTGGAACTCCAGGCATATAAAGTTTCCTGGAGAATGGATTTACAATGAATACACAGCACAACTTACCCTTGCCTTTCAGTGAATAAAGTGGAAATATAACAACAGATGCTTTGTCCCCAAAATTATATCAGATTTCAAAATATACCTAATTTGAACAGCAATAGCAGTCCCTGTGAGATCAGAATAAAGATCATTGAAAATGTAAGAGTTTGAAGAATACAAACTGCCACTTACGTGACCATTTCACAGATTCTCCAGTTTCTGTTCAAGCTAAGAAGAGTTGCCATCTCCTCTTTAGTCAGTTCAAAGTCAAACACCTAAAAAGAGAAAACCAGCTGGATTTAACTTCTTTAAACGAATCAAATCAGAAGCAAGATTCACAAGATGAAAGAACAACTTCATATCAGAAAGGATGCTGATTACAAGATAGATTCATGAAATATGGAAAGGAAAAGAGGTATCTTTGGATTTTCCAGA